TGTTGGTGACTATTTCCAACATGTCTGGGGGAGAGAAGAAAGAGTTCCATCAGCTCTTAGTTTGTGATTGGCATTTAGAAACGTCTTCAACCTTTGTTGATGTAGCTTCTGTGTGAATAGAGAATGATTGCCTTCTTATGTTGTTGAGTTTGCTCCTTACCAGCATAATAGCAAAGAGTATATAAATTTCAGTGCTTGATGAAGGCATGGAATACTAAAGCAGCTTCAGCTCCAAGTTCATTGCAATAATGATTCATTAGTTTTGTCTGTTACAAAGACATTTAGTCTATTCTGTCAGATGATGAAACCACTCTTTTTTTTTATATATAGATATTGACAATTAGGAAAGGGATAAACTAATCCTATGTGCATACCTGAAACTACATTACAGCCATTGAAACTCTCTCAGATTAGACGTGGAATTCCCAAAGAAACCAGTGATTCTCTTCTTACTCACAACAATCAATTTGCTTCCACTTCTAATAACACCAAATTCCAAAGCACATACTATAGACTACCAGAGAAAGACAAACTGTCATCTATGGAAAAGTGATAGCAAGATGCAATTTCTAGATACAATGATTAACACAAATTCTCGAAAATCAGTTAGATACATTCAAAGTCATCTATGTAATAAAGATCTATCAAAGAACGGCACTCAAAGGAACATTATGTCTGATCAGTCCTATAAAAACAAAAGAAACATTTTTTTATGGTTTTATGACTAAGATTACTGTAAAGTCTTTTTCTAGAATTGAGAAGGGTTACTACTCTGAAAGACAATGATCAATGAAAGGAAGAGAATCTCAACCAATAGTTACGGCCATGGAATCAGTTTTCGTGATCCTAGCAGTACCGCTAGCTCTGCTCAGTGAAGAAGAATCATCAGCTTCAGAAACCGTAAGTTCTCAATACCCTTATGAGTTACTATCTAGGCCCAACGTAAGACCAAAATCATGTGCTTATTCTCTACCGGAGAGACTCCAGGACGACATCTCCAAACCCAGAATGGTGAAGATTGGACAAAGATTGAAGATGTGACCCTAAGGAAAGGTGAGTGATGGTTGAATTTGAGAGAAAATATGAATAACATGATTCTGAATTAGCGAGGAGCATAGATTGACTTGATTTAGGGATATAAAAAATAGATAAGGAAGCAAAAATGGTTTGTAAACCGAACCGTAATTGTAGGCGTGTATAAGAAATAGATGGAATGATATAATAAGTCATATTATTAGTAATGAATAAATGATAACTGTTTTCTAGTGATAGTCCATTTTAAAAAAAAATCAGACATGAATCAAAGTCATGACTTCTGTTTTAATATATAAGATAAATGATAAGATAATTAAATGTGATAAATTTTATTAGATGGTCCATTTTTTGAAATATCACACATGAAATGAAGTCATGACTTCTATTTTAATATATAAGATAGCGGAATACATACAATTTATTTACTTTTAATCTTTTTCTGAAAATAGCAGAAGATTTGCAAGCATAACTCACTCACTATACATGTGAAGATTGTTCATCATTTTTTGGCTAATAAATTAATATATTTATATAATATGTGCTTTAATTATACTATGTATTATGCAAGTATATATTAATATAATTTAAATATGTATACAATATTTATTATTATTTACGTATTATATTTATCTATTATATGTTTTGATCTATTTTCTTGTAATTTTTATTACTTAAATGTTATAATCTATGGTTTTTATTAAATCGCATCCATTCAGTTTATATGGTATTATCAAATCTAAACCATATTGTCTATTTCGATTCGATTCGGTAGGGTTCAATATTACTATATTAATTATGCCTAGTTGTTATTATAAGATGAGGAGTAACATAAATAGCTTAGTTGATAATTACATATATATATATATATATAGCTTAGTTGATAATTACATATATATATATATATATATATTCTTTTGTGGCGATTACCTAAAAGGAAAAATTATGTGATGTTGAAAGAATTATTTTGTGTGTGTGTGTGTGTGAGAGAGAGAGAGAGAGAGAGAGAGAGAGAGAGAGAGAGAGAGAGAGAGAGAGAGAGAGAGAGAGAGAGAGAGAGAGAGAGAGAGAGAGTAATAATATATAAATACACAATATAAAAATAGGAAAGGTAGATTAAGCATTAAATATCTATTTTAAAGTTTAGATTTAGGGTCTAGAATTTATATTTTTTCAGTTATCAATATATAATATCTTACATTGTTTTTTAAATCATAAATAAATTATATAAAACTTAATCTTCCAAACTTAAAATAATATAATCCTTTATCCTAGCGCGGATTAATTCCTAGTATTAAAACAAAACTTAGGTTCATCCTCTAGGATGAATTTCTAAATCCAGTTCATCTCTAATAGCCAATCATAATACCACATAGACTAATAAATAAAAAATATTAAATATTAAAAAAACTAAAATAATTAAAAATAATAATAATAACAACAATTTTAACGAAGTTAGCGCCACCAGCTAAATCCTAAATCCAAACCGTAACCCTAAACAAAATATTATAACATAAATTCAAATCCTATACCCTAAAATCTAAACCTAGACCGTAAACCCAAACCCTAAACCCTAAATCTAAATTCTATATCTTAAAACCTAAACCTTAGATTATAAACCCAAATTCTATACCATAAACCAAACTCTAAACTCTAAACTCTAAATCACAAATCCTAAACCCAAACTTTTGATTCTGAATTCAAACCTGGACCCTAAACCCAAATTTTATACCTTAAGCTCAAATCCTAGACTCTAAATCTAAACTATAAAACCTACACCCTAAATGTTTGGATTAATGTTGATATTGTTCCTTTAGAGTTTAAGGTTAGGATTTAGGGTATGAGTTTATGATATCGAATTTCAATTCAGGAACTTAGATTTGGGTTTAGGATTTATGGTATAGGATTTAGGGTTTAGATTTTAGGTTATAGTTAAAATATAGGATTTGGGTTGATGGTATAGAGTTTGGGTTTAGGGTCCAAGATTTAGGTTTTAAGATATAGTTTAGATTTAGAGTAGAAGGTTTGAGTTTAGGATCGTTTAGGTTTTAGGGGTATAGAATTTGAATTTAGGATACAAGGTTTTGGTTTAGGATTACAGTTTGTATTTATGGTTTAACCGACAACGTTAATATTATTAAAATTAGAATTATTATAATTATTTTAAATTATTTTAATGTTTTACAATTTATTTAATATTTTTTAATTTATTAAATTATGTGGCACTATGATTGGTCACTGGAGTTAGGTGAATTTATAAGTTTATCCTAGGTTATCTAAAGCAACAATAAAGAAATTAACAAGTGCAGTAGCATAATTTTGGTGGAGCCCTGGGGAAGCACAAGAGGAATGCATTTGAAATCATAGAATAAATTATGCCTAGATAAGGATGAAGGAGGCTTGGGTTTTAAGGATCTCGAGAATTTCAACACGGTAATGTTAGGCAAACAACTATGGCGCCTTATTGAGAAACCAAATACTTTGTTTTCTCGTGTTTTCAAAGGTCGGTACTATAGGAAAGCGCCACCTCTAGAACTTATTCGATCATATTCTCCGTCATATGGCTGGATCAAAGGACTTATCAAACAGGTGGGATCATGATCTTTTTATCTCAATATGGAATGATCCATGGCTCCCAACCACTCGCCCGAGACCAGCAAAAAAAATCAACAAAACTTTTCCGTGGAACTCATTGTGGATTCCCTCATCAATACCGATACGCGGACTTCGAATATGCCGGTGATTCGTGCTCTAGTAGACCTCCATGATGCGAAAATTATAGAAACCATTCCACTTAGCAGGATACAAATGGAAGGTAGGGAGAGATGGCATTTCACTAAGAACGGAAAATACACAGTTAAGTCAGGATATCAGGTTGAAAGGGTGTACTCAGATAGAGGAAGGCGGACTGAGATTCAGGGACCTACAGTGGATGCTTTAAAAGCATTCTGCTCGAAGGTACAGTGTCCTCCCAAGATATAACATTTCCTATGGTAATTGCTATCGAGTTGTATTGTGGTTAAGAAAAACTTACAGGCAGGAGGGATAAACGATGATATATGTTGTGACAGATGCGGTGCTGAAGAAGAATCGGTTAACCATATTTTCTTTGAATGTCCACCAGCACGTCAAGTTTGGGCATTGTCAAAGATCCCTTTGAACCCAGTAACTTTCCCTACATGAACTTTGTTTACGAATATGGACCATTTATTTTGGTGGCTTATTCCTAAGATGGACGATCATCATTTCGCATGGATATTGTGGTACATTTGGAAATGGTGGAATAGCAAAACTTTTAGTAATTTGGACGTTGATCCGAAAGATACACTCACATTGGCGGAGACGGAATCCACTCTGTGGGAGGAGGCCCAAATAAAAGTAAATCAGAGTGAAACACAATCAGGGGTAGTCGCGGCCTTACCGTGTATATCAGGACATTGGTGTTTTATTGATGGTTAATGGAAAGATAAGGATGTGTTTGATGGACATGGTTGGTATAGTACCCTTGAAGGGTTTGTGGGTTTAATGGGAGTAAGAAATGTTAGAGCCAGTCTCTCACCTCTTCACTCTGAGGTGGAAGCACTTATCTGGGAAATGGAGAGTATGAGGAATTTACGTTAATATCATGTTACGTTTGCAACAGATTGTTCTCAGGTTGTGAAGATGGTTTCGGAACCAGATGAATGACCAGCCTTTGCAAATTATCTGGAAGATATCAAGACGCTTAAAGGGAGCTTCCACAGCTCAGAAATCATCCATGTACCAAAAACACTGAACTCACGGGCAGACAGTCTAGCACGCAGTGTGAGAAAACAATCGTATTTCGTTGTTCACATGGATACAGAGCTATCGGTTTACTTCGCAAAATCCATATGAATGTGTTTGTCGATGTCGAAAAAAAAAAGACTTCAAGCTATTTTTTTACCAGTTACTTTCTTTGTTGTCACGGCAAGAAGACAACTAGGTGGAACAAATCCAAAAGCAGAAGTCAAAATGTTTTGAACACCTTAGTGTTTGAAACCACATTAACCCCATTTAATCAAGCTATACAATTTAAAAAGTACATGAACTGTGTTTTAACATGAGAGTCAAACCACATTTCCATTTGTGCAGTATCTCGCTCTTTCTATGCTGCTACAAATAATAGGATTTTCTTCAACTAACCCCTCTCCTTACCTCTTATTCTTGATGCACTAATGTAACTTTCAACTTGTTTCCGTTTACCTATCCTATCTCCAGTTCCCAAAACTTCTGATCTGCTCCTGAAAAGTAAGTCCATAGATAGCCCAAGCGCTGGAGGAGGTTTAAGCCCCCATATGTACTTTCTTGAAGATGACCCCCGAGTTCCTTCTTTGTTTGAAATCTTTCTCATTGATGTCTCTTCCCCAGCCTTCAACGATCTTGATGACCCGAAAGAAGCCTCAGTCTTTGCACCAAATGCTGAGCTTTTCTTTGACTGATCTTCCACTGGGTGTCCAACTGCACCGTCCTGGTGAGGAGGCGGGAACTTCTCGCTCTTGCTCTTTCCATGTGTTTGTGGTACCACTTTCCATCTCTGCAAAACAGAGCAGGAAAATGTTACATACACAATTTTTAACTACTCTAACAAAATCTTGTGCAAAGTCTCCCTAAACGGTTATAGGCATAGCTGATTTATCAAAGGTTTGCTCATTCATATGAAAACATTGTGTATATGTATGTTTGTGCATTAACATGAATGAGATGAAAAGAGGATTTTTTTTCTCACATCCAAGTTTGCTTGAATCTCGGCATTAGCTTCTGGAGCTGGAAAGGCTCTCCCGGTGCGATCCCCACGATATCTTATTCTTCTGGCTCCTTCCACACCACTAGTTTTTCCAGGAAGACCTTTTTGCCTAGCCAAACAAATGCAGTCAGCAGACGAGACCAATTACAAATCAATATAATCATCCAGAAAACGCATAGAAGTAAAAATAAGTACCTTCTAGACTCGTAGTCCCTTAGCTTTATATTCAGTTCTTTAGAAGGTGGATACTTTGGTAGACTTGATGGATCACACGCTAAAGGTTCACTCGTAAAGAACTGTACACACAAACCATAAGTGTTTTTCATCTAATCACGAACTACCATAACATCAAAACAATAGAAAGATTTGGAGAGGAAATATGACTCACTTCACTACTCAAGGCTGAGGTAGAAGTTCCTCGATCACCAGGATCTATGGCAAGAAGTGTCTCGACTAGATGCACAGTGGATGGATCGAAGCCGTTGAATGCTTCAGCCACACAACGTTTGTACGGATGTTGGGGCTTAAAAAGGGTTGCGTTTGGCAATTTGTACTTCTTCCAGTACAATTCTGAAGGCGAGCCACATAATTTAAATATCTTATGAAGTTGTTCTACCTACAATGAACAAATTAGTTAAGAAAAACAGTTTATTAAAATTTTGGGTGTACATGCATTTAATATGGTCCAAGATCATGCAGCTGGTTTCCAAAAATAAAGTCAAAGAAGCAATAACTTCTCTCTATAATGCAACTAAGGTAAGAGGCCCTACACATCTGTATATGATAAAGACAAAACATTAATTCTGTTTACCTCGGTTCTTCCTGGCATAACAGACTTGCCCGTAAGTAACTCAGCCATGATACAACCGGCACTCCAAAGATCAACGCCAGTTCCATAGTTGGTAGCTCCAAGAAGAAGCTCAGGAGGGCGGTACCAGAGCGTGACAACACGACTAGTCATCGTTTGCTTTTGCTTTGGATCATAAAACGTAGCCAACCCGAAATCAGCAATCTTCAGTATTCCATGCTTATCTATCAGCAAATTTGAACCTTTGATATCTCGATGTAAGACTCCTCGGCTATGGCAATGCTCTAGCCCAGAGAGTAGCTGCTTCATAAAACATTTCACCTGAAGAAAACAAACAAAAAAGTACTTCAGATTATGCAATATTATCAAATATGTAGAGATCATAAAAGAAGAAAAAAACAAAGAATGACAATTCATAAAAACATTAAAAGTCACTTATATTTGGAAAGCAGTATCTACAAACGCACATGAAGACATGAACATTAACTTCGTCCTTGTAATTTAAAATCATATGAATGGTGATCAAGGAATGACAAAGAATAATCCATTCCCTAACATTCCTAAAAAAAATCACCATTCCCAAGGAATAATTTTTCCTTTTTGTTCCTTCTCATTCCTTTTTTTATAGAGGAATATAGAACAAAATTATTCCGGGTGTCACTGGTGACCACATTGAAGAAAGGGAACGAAAGGGAATATTACGTTCCTATTCATTCCTTCTTTTTTTTTACCATTCATGAGTAATTTTTGACATGTATGGAATGTGCACAATTCCTCCTTATTCCTCTTTATATAGGGAACTATAGAAGAAATATATTCCCCATCAGTCTTGACGAGGAACAAAATGAAAAATAAAAAAATTGGTAAATATCGTAACACAAATTAGAAAATGAACATTTTTTCTTGAGTCGTTCACATCTACTTCCACTATATATGTGAGAAACTGTTTTAACCACCATACCCATTAATTTTCTACAAGTCTACATCAAGAGGTGCACATGTTTCTTTACAAGAGGTGCACATTGTTACATAGAAAAAGTTATATTGTATCATCAACAAGAATTAAGATGGAAAAAAACACAAGAGTTTATAAAATATTTTAATTGAAGATACTCATTCCTCTTTCATTGGTTACCATTTATTGCTATAATTCGTTCCATATCTTGTCTGCATGAATTCCCTTAATATTATTCCTTTTTGTTTTGTTAATTCCTATTCCTTATCATTCTATTTGTTAAAATTGATAAGGAACCATCATTCCTTTTTGTTCCTGCAAATTTATTCCTATCCATTCCTACTTCTATGAAACAATAATAATACATCCATAAGCACAAACCTGGGAAAGATCAAACTTGACACCTTGAGCTGCAGCAAGGCCGGTGAGATCATGCTCCATATACTCAAAAACAAGGTAGAGACTACACGAAACCCTCGAAGCAACTAACCCTTCAAGCTTTATCACATTAGGATGACTCAGCCGTCGCAGCACAAGAATCTCTCTAGCCATGAACTTAACACTCTCTGCTTCCAAATTATCGAATCGAACTTTCTTCAAGGCTACAATTTTTCCAGTCAATAAATCCTTAGCCTTATACACATTGCTGTAAGTTCCTTGCCCAATCTATAAAACCAAAGATTGCAACATTCATTACATCAAAAACAAAAAGTACAAAAAGTAATTAAGTTTCTAATTATATCACTTTTATGCTAATGATTAGTATTTTGATTATACTTACCTTCTCCAGCTTCTCGTATGTGGTGGCTCGCCGTGGAGTCAAGTCTTTGATCGATTCGCCGCAAGCAGCAATCAGCCACGGCGGCCATCCTTCCGGCGCACGGAGACTCATCCCCAACGGCCGGCGAGAAGAGCCGGCGGAGAAATCACCGGTGTGCCACGTTCTCGCCATTTGAATCTGAGTCAAACCTAAATCCTTCTTGCTCTCTCCGGTTTCAATGACCTCCGGTACAGATACGGCGGTGGAGGAAGAAGAAGGTAAATGATCCGTCTTGGTTTCACGGCGGAGGTTTCCGGGAGGAGCTTCATCGGGATTATGTTTTCCTCCAGCGGACTTCTTACAGAAAACGCACCCCATTGTTTTGAATCGGCGAAAGCTCTTTTCTTTAGTTAATAATATCGGCGCCGTGAACGGCAAACCGCTATACTGATGTTGCAGCTTTAATGTGCGTTGTTTTCGTTTGTCTCACTTGAAAAGATACATTACACAGTGGGAATAAGATTTTTTAAAACGACAAAGTTTTGAATCAATGGACTCTATGGCACGTTAGAAGAGTGAATGCTGGTGGTTTTCCGTTAATAGTTAACGGTGGTTTCAACTTTCACGTGGAAGATCTTTTTATGGTTTCACTTTGAGATTTACTCTCTATGAACCTAGAAGAGTGTATTTCAGAGTAAGAAAAAAATGAACCTAGAAGAGTTGTGAAAGAAAAACCTGAGAAAGCCTATTAAAGCTGGAAAAAAATGCCTTTCTGGTAAATAAATTGAAGCCCAAAAGTTATCCTACGTTTTCGTTCAAGCAGATTTGACTTTATGTTCCTTTCTCTAACTTTCATTTTTATGATTATGAATGTTACTCGAACCTTTTGCCAACAACCAAAATAATTACTTTTTACAACATAATCTTTTTAAAATATCAACATCGATTTTCAGCATTTATCACATTATTAAAATATGTGAAGATAATACAAATACTGTAATTTAGGACTCATGTAATAGCTATATTTGGAAGTGAAATTAGATAGCAATGATTTTGACATAATAAAGAATCTAACATCCAAAATTATCCGGTTATATCTTTTTCTCTCACAGTTACCCGGTAACAAAATGATCTACTTGATACGTATATCAAATGGCCAAGAGTGTTGAAAACTATTCAATATTAACGAAGGATAAAACATCATGTTACACGTTTATTGGCTTCATACATATGCAACAAAATATTTTATTCCATATTAACGAAATAACAGAGAAATGGAATAGTACATAACCAATCTCTAAAACTAAGCATTTCCATTCAAATAGCACAGGTTCCATGGACAATAAAATAGTATATGCCCTCTCAAAATAGTATAGGATTGCATATATATTCTATTTACATCATGAGTCAATAAATTTGAGCATCAAAAGTAAAATAGTGTGGAACTGAAAACGACAATACATATAAAAATTATATAAAATTTAAATTTAAAACCTTGTTATAAAGTAATGACACTACTTAATTTTCAGTAAACAAATATATATTAAATTTATATGTAACCCTTGTCCAAATGAAAATCATATTACAAGTAATGCATGACACCCATTTTCAACAATTTTCCAAATTGCTAAGAATTCGACATCACCAAATGATCGTCATCTAATGTAGTTTTGATCAGCTCGATCCACCGCAGGTTCAAATAGTTATTAACATGTTTCATATCCGTCGGCTCAAATCCTGTTTCAAACAATCTTATAAGAAAGCTTAATTCATCCATGATAGCCTGATAACAAGGTGGACGAGTAGAAATGTTGCTACAATAGCATATGCAAACCTTAAACTATTATATCTTCTCTACATTGTTCCATATTATGTATTCTAGATATACTATGGAATATCTATAAATAGAATAGAAGAGTAATTTTACTCTGTTTTAGTTTTTAAAATACTTAATACTAAAACGCAAGAAAAACTTGTTATTACTAAATCTAAACCTTAATCACTGATCTATAAATCCAAACATAATCTATACTAGATTCTGATCCACACATTAGTGCGGATATTTTTAATTTAATGAATGTAATATTTTGATGTTATTATAAATGTTTTCTATATATAATTTTTATTTTAGTGTTACATATTGTATAACTCTCTTTTGTTTAAATAATATAGATATAAAAAGGGTCAATTTACCTATTTACTATATTTTGACATATTTAATTCTTGGCACATCTATTTTAATATAATACATAATATAATTATACAATTTATAAAAAAGGATATATTTTATATTTTTATAATAAATATTTAATTAAAATTAATTTATAATAATATTCTATTATAATTATGAAATTAATTAATGTGTGCTTATATAAAAACAAATATTTAAAAGATTTGTAGGATTTTGGTAGATTCTTTATCAACAGATTTTGTTATAATTAAAATATAAAATTCAAATATGTAGTTGATTTCTTATTAATTTAAATAATCAAATATAACATATTAACTAATTTTTAGATGGCCTTTGTATGACTTGTTAACAATAGATAAAAATAGGACTATGTTTTAATAGATTAGATAACTAGATTTTGATCCGCACTTTCAAAGCGTGAGATTATGTTCAAAACAAACCAAATTTATATGATATAAATTTTCATATCTGAATATGTATCCACATTTAAATGTTACACATGACCATTATATTCAATGTTTTGAAACACGATCTGGATCCGTGGTTAAACCGACAGAACTAATAATGTTATATGTAACCATTTTGATTTTTTTTTTAGAATCTCATTATTGAAATTCTATAAAAACCACAAAAAACCGGTAAAACGTGGGACTCGGCTACCGGTCAAAGCGCATGATTATTTTCGAAAAAATCAAATTCATATGATATAAATTTGCATTTTTGATTATGTATCTACGTTTAAATATTAAACATGAAGCGTTATTCAGTGATCTGAAACACGATCCGGATCCGTACTTAAACCAATGAAAATGATGACTTTATATGTAACCCAGTTTGGTTTTAAAAAGAAAACTCGTTATTTAAAAATTCTATAAAACAAATTTATATGATATATATTTGTATGTTTGAATATGTATCTACATTTAAATGTTACACATGAAGTGTTATCAGTGTTCTGAAACATGACTCGGACCCATGGTTAAACTGACAAAACCGATGACTTTATATGTAACCCGGTTTGTTTGTTTTAAAAGCTCACTAGTTTAAAATTATATAAAACCCGCGAAAAGTCCTGCTAAAACCTGGGAATCGGCTACGGTTCAAGGCGCGGGATTATTTCCAAAATAAACCAAATTTATATGATATAAATTTGTTTTTTGATTATGTATTTACATTTAAATGTTAAACATGAAGCATTATATTTAGTGTTCTGAAACTCGATCCGAACCCATAATTAAACCGGTAAAATTGATGATTTTATATGTAATCCGGTTTGGTTTTAAAATAAAAACTGATGAATAAATACATATGGTGTTAACATAAAATACACAGGTTTAGGCTTGGTTCTTTGGAAAATAAGCAACAAAAAAATTGAACAAACACTATAAATAGTAACATGATATGAATGCTTTGTTATGTAGTCTGATTTATATTTTTGTATAAGGTGTAAATAATATGTGAAAATAAGATGAATATTTAATAATCGTATATAGTCAAGGTGTTGTTATCGGATATATGTATGCTTTAATAAGTAAGGCGTTAAATAGGCAGTATATCATTTAGTGTAACCGATATTATAGGTAAAATAATGTTATTAGTAAATGAATTTATTAAATGTAATTTTTTTATCTAGACTACTTGTAAGTAGATAAAATGTGCTTTTATTTTAATAATATTGATATGCTGCAAATATCTCATGTTGTACTATACATAATATGGAACATTTATAAATAGTATAACATGAAAAATTTACTCAGTTTCTATTTGTTCTTATTATGCTTAAATACTAAAACCCCAAAAATATACCTATTAAATCTAAACCCTAATTACTGATCAATATACCCAAATAGAATCTATATAATATATTATTTCTCTCTACAAATTCATATAGACACTGATATCGTAGTTCTGATTGTTTGCGCGAGTGTGCTTACTCGTCTGTCGTAGACTTCTCGATCGCTTCAGTCGTGGGATCGATGTCTTTGTCCGGGATTGTCTCCTTTGGCTGGGTAGAAGCGATGGGTGCGGAAACTTGTGGTTTCTCGACCGTTGGTTGCTTTGGGTCGTCTTCTGCGGGCGGTAGCGTGACCTTTGCCCGTTTTGGTTTCACGATTGCGATCGCCAATTGCCTCAGCTTGTGTTCGGCCAGGAAGCAGGATCGCGATTGTCTTTGGCATCCCCAAATTGCTGCGACTCCCGTAGGCGTTGGGAATTTGATGCCTAAGTGATACGTCGACAGAACCGCCTTCATGGAATTTATCCAAGGAATGCCCATGATCACATTGTAGATGGCCGGGAAATCGACTACTGCGAAGTTGACGACTTTTGTCACTTCTTTGGCTGCCACCGGTAGCCGGATCGATCCCAAGGTCATTGATGTCTCGCCGGAAAAGCTAGTCAACGGTTTTGGAATAGGTTTGACTTCCGAGAGTTCTATTCCCATACGTGCTAACGTGTTGCTGAAGATGACGTTGACGGTACTTCCGGTATCGACCATAATTCGAGCGACTTCTAGATCGCTTAGCACCAAATCGATGACAAGGGGATCGGCATGCGGTTGGTCGATTCCGCCGGTTTCAGCATCGTCGAACGAGATTATTCCCTTTGGAGTGTCGTCCGATGACACTTTCCAACTCGAGCCGGCTTCGTCTTTCGTTGGTAGGATTTGATAGACGAGACGGTGTCGTTGTAATATTGCGATTCACTGATAATCATGTTGATTTTTTGGCGGTTAGCGTCGTTACCCTTCTCGTTTTGCCTTCGTCCGCGTTTTTCACCCGACTGGTTTCCCTGAGGCGGAGTTTCCGCTCGTGCGTTCCTGTCGTTCTTCGGAAGGCGATCCAAATCGTGGATGAGATCCTTCACGCTGGATATCTCGGAGAGTTCTCCCGCGACCAATTTTGCGGCAAGTCTGGCGCCGAGAACTTTGCAGTCCACGGTGGAAAGAAAAAACACGTTTTTCCGCGACCAATTTTTGCGGCAAGTCTGGCGTCCAAGAAAAAACCCTAGTTGAGACGCAGCTCGCTAACACAAAACGGAAATATTCCTAAATGCTAATTTTGGTGGTGAGAGCTCTGAAAATCGTGTCCCAGCTTCTGCCTTATGCCTCCTGCTTATATACTCCTTCTTAGGCGGTTTTAGTCTTTCCATTTTGCCCGAAACCGAATATATTGTGAATTTTCCATTTCTGTCGATCCTTCCTTTTCTTCCGCGGAAATCTTCTATTTATCTTCAAACTTGTCTTTTGTCTTCTGTCTGCGAGTAAACCACCAAAACGTTATCGTATCTTCGTGTTTGATTTCGTTAATATCGCGAGATGGGTTTTTATCGTGTTTTAGGACCTTCCGGGCCGTTTTACGACTTTATACGATACCGTTTCCTGATCCGATGC